GCTAAAATAATATAAGTGAAATTCTGAAACACATTAAATAACTGTTTGAGTGTGCCCTTTTAAATAAATATTTGCACCTTAATAACCACATGTTCTTATTTTTGCTTTTTTTATCAGAACAGTTCAGTGTGGTGATGTGTTGCCTTTTTCAGCCATGAGAAGCTCAGTTTGTTTTAAGTTCACCAAGTGAACCAGTTGAGAGTAATCTACGTTTACATCCAGGGTGTGTGTGTGAAATGTTTTATGTTCATTAAATCTTTAAAATGCAAAAAAAAAAAAAAAAGTTAGGTTCCAACTCAAAGGGTTGGTAAAAGTCTAGCAAGTTGTCAGAACCAGGGAGTTTAGCTATTGACTCATCACTGGAATAAACAAAACTCTTACAGCGTAACATTTAAATATAATACAAAACAACCATAGGCTGAACTTTCTCTCTTCTTAATTTTTCTCCTGATCATAAAAAGGATGTGACCTATTTATGTTACAGAATGAATGATGTTTGAATTTGATGATATGCTGATTGTGACTATACAGAAAGTCATTCTGGATAAAGTAGATTATTCTGATCAGGAAGAATTTAATTTAGAAGAAGGAATCCTTATCCAGTCATAATGTTTAAAAAACAAAACTTATTTCAGAACCTTAAGATATTTTACATTTAGTTTTACTGAGTAATTTTTTTATTTTTTTTTATCTATACTGAAATAACAAGATTTAAGATAATTTTATTATAATTTTAACTCAAAAATAATGTCATTATGTCAAGGAGAAACCTATTATTGATAGATAAAATATTTATTAGAAAGAGTAGTGCAACTTTCCTAAATTTATATATAAAATAATGCATTTATGCTCCAAGAAACATCTGACTATTGTTTTACACTGGTTAACTTTATTCACTGGACTTGGATTTTAAGTTTTATTTTAAATTTGATGTACAATGTGTTTATCTCCTACTTGCTCAAAAGCAATTTCTTTTAACTGCTATGTGTTTTTACTTATCCTAAATAGCTAGGGGAAATTAATAAGGTACACCAAACAAAAGCTTGAGCGTCAAGAAAATGGGGAAAGATACCGACTTTTAGGGGTGGCTAATGCCCTCCATGGTCCCCCCTTGGTGGCACCCCTGATTGATACAACCATAATCTTGGGATTTCTGCTTTGCTGCAGAATAGAAGCTTTTTACAAAAAGTCATAAAATTTGCAGAAAACAAGTTTCCCTTATGTTCTTAAAAAGAAGCTACTACCTCACCTTACATCAGCAAAGCAAAAAATATTATTAAAACTTATCAGCCACCGGTTTGTTGTTACCATCTGGTGAAGATCCAAAAATATTGAGCGTGGACCTTGTTGATCTAAAAATGCAGCTTTTTTTCACAGATGATATCACAATAAACAAACAACGCTTGTTACAATGTTTACAGCTGCATTTGGAAATATATCACATGCCTTTATGTGTTCTTTCTGGCAAATATCTCAATTGAGTGAATTTATCATTTCACTGTATTCATATAAAATGAGAATACAGACTTCCTGGTTATCATTTGAAGGAGGACTCATCAGGTTCTGTGTCAGGACTTTGTGCATTGCTTACTGTTTCTTGAAGACATGACTTCAGACTAGGTTTGTCTGCTGGAGATGGCTTGTGTTTTTTTGGTTTTTGTTTTTGGGTGGGGTGGTGGGGGGGTCTGACACTTCTTTATGGTCATTTGTCCACTTTCCACATTTTTAAGTGCACAGTACTACAATATCCTGCCATCGTTATTTACAGAAAATGGACAAAAAAAAATGAGTGAAAAGGCTATCAAAGTAGAGCAATTTTTCGAAAGACTTTCAGAAAGCCTGAGGAGTTCCTGACCAAGAAGAACATGTAAAAAAGTATAAGAAAAGCAGAAAAAGGATTGTAAGCTCAATCATCCAGTAACAACAAAAAAATCTAACTGTTTTATTCGCTACATTTCTTTTTCCTTTTAATTATCATTTTGTTTTTAATTGTAAAAAAATAAAATAATTTATCACTCATTTGTGAATGTCTATTGTTGTCGTTGTTATCCGTTGTCATAACTCTTTAGTCAATCTTTGTAAAATTCAGGTCTTTCTTGTAAAAGAGTCCTCGTGGCTCAATGGGACTAACCTGTTTAAATAAAGTTTGAATGAAATAAAAGGTTAAAATGTGTAATCTGGACCAGTTTCTTTAAGAGAGAAACATTTTGCACCCCATCCAGAGGACTTCCGCATAGGGCTTTAACAGACTATTTGAGTAATCGACGTCGATTCCTAGGACATCTCTCGAGTTTTAAATTTCACGTCGAGTATTCGTAGTGACGTCATTACGTCGCCGTTACGTCATTGTATCACGTGATCAGCACCGGGCGCGGACTACAAAATGGATTTCTCCAAGCAGATGGATGGAGCAGAGCAGGCTCAGTTTTGGCAAACTGGTATAAATGCATCAATAGTATGGAAATATTTCACTAAAGATGAATCTTCCGGTTCAACTACTGTAAGGAAACAGAAAATGAATCAACTTCCGGACTGTTTGGAGTTTGTTGTGAATCAGTGTTGCACCATATTCTGTGACCACTGTATATTGTGACCATAGGGGGCGGTGTTGCATGCACTGTTGCAGGTCACAGAATATGGTGTAACACCGGGTCCAATGACCGAACCAGAACCAGCTTCCTCTGACCTTGTTTCACAAACTAAAAGCAAAAAATATTAATCTCTAAATCTATTTAAAAAAAAAACTATAAACATATTAATCTCTAAACCTAAACCTAATGCACACCACAGCTGGCGGTGATGTGGGGTGGTTGTCCACCCCACTGTTTTTAGTTTTGTTTTTTTATGTGCTGCACGTTTCTTTCACTTTAGCAGCTTAAAAATAATAACTAATAGTTTTGGTTTTCCTGTGACTTATTTGCAGTATGATAAATGGTAGGAGCATAATATTTTTTGTTGGTCTTTTTTTTTGTAAATAATAAATGCCTTTTTTTGCAGTTTTATTTATTTTTGCATCTTGAGATCCTATGATGTCATCAACTACTCGAGTTCTACTCAAGTTTTATATGTTAATGTCGAGTTTAAAAATTATGTAGTCATTCAACCCCTACTTCCACAGTCGGACTCCTGCCAATCTGTCCCATCTGAACCACTTTGGCCTTAACTGTCCTCAGGCTGTTTCTGTGAGTAGCAAGTTGGTCTCTGGCCTAAAACATTTGTTGTACATGATGACATTGTTTTGGATGGGTGTGTTTTGCACGTATTAAAAGTTTATTTCTGAGATTCCGTTGGCTTGAAACACAGCAGTGAAGTCTACATGGACAGAACTCAGTGGCAGGCTGTAGACTGAGGAAGTCCTCTGGATGGGGACAAAATGTTTCTCACTTACAGAAACTGGTCCAGATGACACAATTTCCAGTCCAGTGGGTGGGCATCACAGGGTCAGCTCTCAATTGGTTCAGATCCTACCTCACTGACAGATCCTTTTGTGCCTCCATCAAGGATTTTAGTTCCGCAGAGGCAGAGCTTAAATGGGGGGTTCCGCAGGGGTCCATACTGGGTCCCCTCCTATTCTCTCTATACCTACTGCCACTTGGTGCTATTTTCCGGAAACACAACATGCCCTTTCACTTCTACGCCGATGAATGTCAAATTTACTTCCCCCTAAGACACAATGATACATGCTCTATTCAACCTCTGCTCAACTGCCTGGCTGACATCAGGGACTGGATGGCTTTAAACTTCTCAAGTTTCAATGAAAAGAAGTCTGAAGTCATGTTGTTCCCTCCCAATGACACGATCACAAACCACTGCATCGACCTTTCCACTCTAACCCTGTCAGAAAAACAAAGAGTCACTAATCTGGGTGTGATAATGGACCCTTCCCTGAAACTTAACAATCATGTAAACATGATTGTTAAATCATGTTTCTTCCACCTGAGGGGGCTGTCTAAACTGAAGCCCATATTGTCCAAAAAGAACCTGGAGACAGTAATACATGCATTCATTACATCTAGGCTTGATTACTGCAATTCACTCCTGTTTGGTATAAGTCAGACCTCCATTGCACGACTACAACTGGTCCAGAATGCAGCAGCCCGATTTTTAACGAGTACAGGCAAAAGAGAGCACATTACACCAGTTTTGGCCTCATTTCACTGGTTACCGGTTCACCTTCGAATCCAGTTTAAAATACTCCTGTATGTCTACAAATCACTGAACAGTGTCGCCCCCCCATCTCTCTGATCTGCTACAACCGTATGTCCTACCATGCTCCCTGAGGTCAGCGGACCAGTTGCTCCTCACAGTTCCAGGAACTCGTCTTAAGCGCAGAGGTGACGGGGCCTTCTCTGTAGCAGGACCAAGACTTTGGAATGAGTTACCTCTGCTTGTCAGACAGGCCCCCTCCCTCTCGGTTTTCAAATCCCATTTAAAAACTCACTACTATTCAGTAGCTTTCAACACTAGATGATCTGTGTTTTGAACCTTTACGCTCCACACTGGTTAGTAGTCATATTTATTATCTGCATCGATTTTATGTCTGTATTTCTGATTTACTTCATTTTGTAAATTGCTTCGTGTGTTATCTGTTGTTCTGTCTGTACAGCACATTGGTTGGCCTTGTAGCTGTTTTAAGTGCTCTATAAATAACATGGTATGGTATAATTTAACATTTTTTTGTTATAAGAAAGCGGGGTAAATAATTACAGAAATTAGCAGTGGTTTAAGAGTTTTACACTGCACTGAAGAAACACTGCATGGACCGGAATCTGTCTTCCAGTAAGGTATTTGCAACAATCAGACTGGATTGGCCAGTCTATCTCCGTGGTCACATGACGGACTTACGGAAGTTTTTCTTTTTTTGCAGTCCCCGAAGATTCGTTGTAAAATGTCAGGTTTTGAATCTTAAAAATAAAATACAAGTCGCTCCAAGAATAAGCGTGTTTCTTTTATTCTGAAAGGCATCACCGGAAGTAGCGCGCCTCCATCTTGCTAGCTTAACGTCGAGTCGGTTGCGAGTGGCTCAGCGGCGCTTTTCTCATCCGTGAGAAAAATGTTGTCCGCTGTTTGTCGTCGCAGGTCGCTGCCTCCGCGTCGAGGATAAAAAACGAGGACGTTTCATCGTGTCGGGAACATTTTCGAGCACTTTTAGTCGGTGAGTAACTTTAACGTTTAACTTTCACGTGAAACTTTACGGTCAGTCGCCTCTACAAACGCAGCGGCGGCGACGTGTTTGCACAGAATTAAACGAGTTGTCAGGTTTAATATCGGGCTTCTGTTTCACCTGCAGCTCTCAACTCATCCGATATTAGAGAGACAAATTGTTTTGCGACGACACTTCAGCTGATCTGAGTCCAGTTTTACTTTTTGAAAACGCCTCGGTAATAACGACGAAGAGGAAACGCTATAAAATATGTTAAATCATGCAATTTGTTGGGCTGTGCCTCAGGTTAAACACGCTCTGTTTATCCCCTAAGGACTTACTTATTTCTAATCTGACCGCCTGAACGTTTTGACTATTTTAATAAGATGTTTGGGTGTTCCCTCTCATGCTTCATAAACTCAAGATTTTAAACAGGCACATTTGTCTTTTGCACTATTTGTAGCTTGAGTTTAAACATTAGTAAGACAAGATTAATAGTGAAACAGTGTTGAGTGTGTTATCAGATGCATGTTCTTAGTAGGAAATGTTTGTTTTTTCCTGTTTCTTTAAAGTTAATTCCCTTTGGTAGAAATAGTTCTGTGGTGTTGCAGTTTAACGTGGTTTAGTGCATTTTGCACAACAGCCCTGTTCAGTGGAGAGTCTGAGTCTTTCAGTCATGTAGAAAGAAATGTCTTGTAAACCTTGGTGAAAACAATGTTTTTAGTTAAAGGGTGTTTGTGGCTATTGTAGTCAACAAGAAATAGTTCTGGGGCTTAAATCCCACAGATGGAAATAAATACCTAGAGAACATGAGCAGGAATAATTCAGGTCATGCACCTCCTTAAGAAGTGTCTAATGCGTTTCTTCTAAAAGTAGAAACAAAAATAACTCTATAAATAAGTTCCAACATACAAAGCTATTCATCTTAAAAATAAAGATGCCTTCCATATTTTCCTAACAGAGCACGTCACTCTCAGACTGTAGGTTTACTTGTGGTTCCTAGGGGTTTTTTAAAAGTGGAACGGGAGGCAGAACTCTCAGATCTCAGGTTCTTCGCTTACATGAACTTTCAGTTGGTACCTAAACCTAAATGTGTTGTACTGTTTGTGACTGCTTTACTCGTACGTTTTTGCAATCTGCTCAAGTTTTTGCATTTTTGCACCCGACACAGTTCATATCTCTGCTGCTGTAAAAATAGAAAAACTTTACGCTGCTAACCACATATCGGAACATGTTTCTACCTCATGTGCCACCTACATATGTACTAATCAACATGTGTCTCTTAATTACTTGTTTAGAGAATGTTTAGTCTTTTTGCATTTATTACTGGTCTGTATTTATTGTACTGTAGCATGTCTGCACTTTGTGTTGTTGTTTTTGTTTTGCACGTAATGTTCTGTGTAGCACCGTGATCCTGGGGAACACGGTTTCATTTCAATATGTACAAACTAGATTCCAAAAAGGTTGGGACGATAAACAAATTGTGAATAAAAACTGAATGCAATGATGTGGAGATGGCAAATGTCAATAATTTATTCGTAATATAACATAGATGACAAATCAAAAGTTTAATCTGAGTAAATGTAACATTTTAAAGGAAAAATATGTTGATTCAAAATTTCAGTGTCAACAAATCCCAAAAAAGTTGGGACAAGTTGCAATAAGTGGCTGGAAAAAGGAAATTGAGCATATAACGAACAGCTGGAAGACCAATTAACACTAATTAGGTCAATTGACAACATGATTGGGTATAAAAAGAGCTTCTCAGAGTGTCAGTGTCTCTCAGAAGCCAAGATGATAAGAGGATCACCAATTCCACCATTGTTGCACAGAAAGATAGTGCAGCAATACCAAAATGGTGTTACCCAGCGTAAAATAGCAAAGACTTTTAAGTTATCATCATCAACCGTGCATAACATCATCAAAAGATTCAGAGAATCTGGAACAATCGCTGTGCGTAAGGGTCAAGACCATAAAACTCTACTGGATGCTCGTGATCTCCGGGCCCTTAAACGTCACTGCACCTCAAACAGGAATGCCACTGTCAAGGAAATAACAGAACGGGCTCAGGAATGCTTCCAGAAAGCATTGTCAGTGAACACAATCTACCGTGCCATCCGCTGTTGCCAGCTGAAACTCTACAGTGCAAAGAGGAAACCATTTCTAAGCAAGCTCCACAAGCTCAGACTTTTGCACTGGGCCAGGGGTAATTTAAAATAGAGTGTGGCAAAATGGAAGACTGTTCTGTGGTCAGATGAGTCAAGATTTGAAGTTCTTTATGGAACACTGGGACGCCATGTCATCCGGACCAGAGAGGACAAGGATAGCCCAAGTTGTTATCAACGCTCCGTTCAGAAGCCTGCATCACTGATGGTATGGGGTTACTTGAGCGCTTGTGGCATGGGCAGCTTGCATGTCTGGAAAGGCACCATTAATGCAGAGAACTATGTTCAGGTTCTAGAACAACATATGCTCCCATCTAGACGTCATCTCTTTCAGGGAAGACCCTGCATTTTTCAACACAATAATGCCAGACCACATTCTGCAGCAATCACAACATCATGGCTACGTAGGAGAAGGATCCGGGTACTGAAATGGCCTGCCTGCAGTCCAGATCTTTCACCTATAGAGAACATTTGGCGCATCATAAAGAGGAAGGTGCGACAAAGAAGGCCCAAGATGATTGAACAGTTAGAGGCCTGTATTAGACATGACTGGGAGAGCATTCCTATTTCTAAACTGGAGAAACTGGTCTCCTCTGTCCCCAGACGTCTGTTGAGTGTTGTAAGAAGAAGGGGGGATGCCACACAGTGGTAAAAATGGACTTGTCCCAACTTTTTGGAATCTGGTTTGTACTTGTACGTAGCTGAATTGACAATAAAACCTCCCTGACTCGCTGTCTGTGATGCTAATACCCCGTCTACTTTCAAGACTAGGCTTATGACTTTCGTTTATGATAAATCCTAAAGTTAGGGTTGGGTTGGGTTGGGTTTCCTCAGGTATAGTTACTTTAGTTATGCTGCTATAGGCTTAGACAGCTTGAAGACAAACTGACCCTATTTCCTCACTCTGCTGTCTTTACTTACTCTACAATTCATGTTTGTGTTTGCAGTTATTTCTGTCACCAACGTGTTTTTCTGTCGTTCCCATGGAACCTACACCTGGATCTGTCATTCTTTGTCTCTTTCGTGTCCTTTCTTTTCTCCAGCCTTTCATGGCTGATTGCTGTCTATCCTGATTCTGGTTCTGCTGGAGATTTCCTCCTGTTAAAAGGGAGTTTTTCCTTTCCACTGTTGCTAATGTGCTTGCTCAGGATGGGAGATTGTGATGAAGTGACACACTCTGCTGGCTTCCTTAGGAAACCATAACTAATAGGCCTTTTTTTAGTGCATGAATGCATGATATAAATGTTTTTGTACAGTGCTCTGAGATGTTGTCTCTTATGAATTGGTGCTGTATAAATGAACTGAACTGAATTTAAATGTGTTCACAGTAGCTGATAGTTCGTCCTTATAATTTTGTTTTGTCCTGCTGTAACCTGTTGATAAGCAGCGGTGTAGCTTCACAATGCAGAAAGTTTTTTTTTTTTTAAATTAAGATTCACTGGTGACTCTCTCAAACCCCTCAACATGAACTTTTTGCGGCAGCTACATTCAAACTATTTCATCCTTAGTTGGACAAACATGTAACTCTTGATTTAAATAGATTTGAGTTTGAATGTAAATATTAGCTCTACATTATTTATCGTTTACTGACATCTTGCTCATGCTGAAAAGTGCCCATTCTACACCTTTTTATCCCCCTAGCCCCTCTCTGTTCTTTCTTCTGTTCATCGCTCATATGCCTACTTCCTTGTGAATCACTCTTCAGTGATGTGAGGGGTAAAGTTTTTCACCGATTCAGAACTTGGCAAGTTTAGCAGACTAACATAAATAAATAAATTAGATAAATAAAACGGGCTGAAATAATAAAACCCCTTATGCTAGAATCTGAGTATGTGAGTAAAATGTTTCAAGTTTAGGTTATTAAAATCTGATTCTTAATGCAAGAAGGAAATACCAGTTGTTGTAGACACGGTAAAAGATGTTTAACCTGCCACGCAGGAATTTATTACTTCCTAGAAGTAGGGAAAGCCTCTCTTAAATTTCCCCTGCTTCAGATGTTATCAGCCATTAAATGGCCGTTATTAGTTATCTCCATATGTAGCGGTCAGACTGCCCCTCCTGTACCTCCCAGTGGGTTTAAAAGTACGTTGTTAGCGATGATAATAGGCTCTATTTTTTAGCTTTGTTAGCGCTCATAATAGCTTCACGTGGTTACGTTTAGAGTAAAGGGTCTGGCGGTTTGGTTTAGGGTCTTGGTTAGGTTTAGGCACAAGAGTAAGGGGGTTAAGTTTAGGGTTGGTCCTCAGGGTCAGGTGTAAGCTTACGTTTAGGAAAAGGGTTACATAAGCTGAAAACAACTAAAAATACACTTCCTGGTTTACCCCCGTGTGACGCTGCCTATTATCAGCAATAATAACGATAATAACGTACCTTTAAACCTACTAGGAGGTAGGTGGGACAGTTTGACCACTACATATAGGGATGATAACAACTAATAACGGCCATTTAGTAGACTGATAACATCCGAAGCCGCTCTAAATTTAAACAATACTGTAAATATTGTTTTATATACAGTCTGGCAGTAAATTATAATCAATGAATTCTGATACAAATCCAGTTTTTACTAAAAATAATTTGCTTTGAGGTCATTTTAAGGATTTAACATGGCTTAAACTAGATCAGGGCTATTTAACTGCTGACCCATGGGTGACCAGTCTGGCCCACCAATTTCTTTTTTTGGGGGGTGGGGTTGAGTTTGGGCTTTGGGTTCTGTTTATTGCATTTATGATTCATTGCAATAAAACAAACAAAAAAATTATAAGGTAACAGATCATTGTAATACTTGGTTTATTTACATAATGACTTTAACTGCTGGATGTCCGGTCCCTGAGCTGCTGGCTCTCAGAA